ATATATTATTTAATGTTATCTTATTCAATGTTTTCTCTACTTAATGCTCTAATTAATATTCTCTCTGAATTATTCGTTGACTTTGTTGCAATCTGTTCTGTTTTGCAAGTTCTATTAGATTGTAAATTTTCTCGTCACGCGAGATTGCCGAGGTGATTCTATCTCGGCTTCAAAAATCTTCGTAAACAGGCTCGCCGTTAGCGTAACATCGAGAAAACGTGGCATGTAAATAGAATCCACCTGTACACACACCTGCCACAACTTTCGCATCGGCCCTTATCGCGAGATACCTTCTCGTGAGAACCGATCTACATTGCGGCCCGCAAACTTCGTCGGTTTTCATGTAATCGTTCCGTAAGCGAACCGCAGTCTAAACTTTGCTCGCTCAACATTGAAGTTACGCCGTGGCGAAAATAATGAAAATAAGTGACGCGAAGCAAACAGCGTGACGACGGAAACGACCATCGTTTACCAGGCCATTGATCAGTTGGGATTGACTAGACTATTATCACATAAATGAAAATGTGATGTGCGATATTTTGATCTTATTTTTTTCTTTTGGACATAATATTAAAATCAACCGCAATAAAAGCGAAATAAATAATTTCATTGATATTAATTATAATGAACAATTATATTCATAATGATATAATTGCATTATCATGTTATTCTGTTCTTATTTTTATTATGTTTTATTATATTTATTCTAATTAATTAATAAGAGGTAAAAGATATATAATATTACGGATTAAACACACAATATATATATATATATATGTATATAGGGAGTGGAATCAGATATTATGAGCATCTTTAGGAGTAATATGAGCCAGGAAATTTTTTGCAAAAAATTTTGCAAAAATGAAAGATTGAATTATATGTATATATATATGTACATATGTATATATATATATGAAATATTTTATTAGAACAAATGCCGATCAAATGTTTCTTTAATATAACCAAAAGATAATGTTACATTTACAAATACTTAATAAGTATTACCCATGAAGTAATAAAAAGGAGATCAAAGGAGATCAAAAGAGGTCTGAAAGTGGGCTCGAAACACGGTATAGAAAAACCCATGGAAAATCCTTGGCCTCGGTATCCTGACCAAGAATACTCTCGGTATTCTTGGCCAGGGTACTCTCGATGAGTTGCTTCCTTCCGAGAGGAGAATCCGTGAAAATATTTTAGTTTTATCGGGTATCGAATCCGAGATCTCTAGCATAACAGACCAGTGCGCTGTCTCTCTGCCACACTCGCTCTCTAATATGTAATATATCTTTTACCTCTTATTAATTAATCTTATACCTTTTGAAAATTCCGACATTGTAAATTTTCAAATACATTCAGAGATTACTGCGAAAATAAAATTTAACTTCGCATATAAGTTTCCTTTCATGACCACGACGCCATATATGAAGCTGCGGTGAATGGTATCCCGAGCTTTAATATACTAAAATCCATGGAGCCGCGCCCTTGATTCCCTATTTAGCTTATCGCGGGCTTTTGTCACAGACACTAGGAATACCGTCAGCATGTTGCCTCATGATTTTGCACGTAGCGACCTATCCTTTGCATGTGCTTGAAAGAGGAAGGGAAGGATGTTAGATTGCGGATTGTAGTCGCAGCGGTGGCCGGCGGCAGTCCCGGAAATTGCAACTGCAAGCGGACTGGCTCGTAAACTCGGGAAATTCGCTGACGCTCTCGTTGCGAGACGAGAGAGGAATGAGCGAAGCGCATCAGGAGCCAACAGAGGAGAGGTCGTCCTTGCGTGGATCAAGTCCGTCGTAATTTCTTGTCGCGTCCTTCGGTCTGTCGTAAACTTTAAGTGAATTAGAACGCAAAAGCGGTAATGGGTCCGGGAAACTTATCATGTTTCACGTCGAGGTTTTCATTCATTCGATTTCCGATTTTAAGGTTTGTCGTAAAAGAATTGAGGCAATTTGCTGAAAAAATTAATCTACCTTCTCAAAACGTGATAATAAACTATGAATAATGAAAAATCTTCTTTGACGGAATAATAAATTGGAAAAAGTAATGTGTCATAATTCGAATATTTTTTATTACTTTTGTAACTTATCTTGAATAGAATTAACATGGTTTTATTTCTTCAAATATAATGAAATTATGATTACACAATATCGATTTTCTTCAAGTATAAAATTATTAGAATTTGTCTTTAAAATTTTAAATCTCTAATACTTTCGAATAGCTCTCTTTTTCTATTTTGTAATTTTATATAACTGTAATTTTACAAGAATGCTAAATTTCAAATTTTATTTTTTTTTAAGGATCTCAAATATTTATGTGGAACTCAAATAAATTGCTGTCTCAATTGTGTTAGAAGATACATAATCTCATCCCAGATTCAGAATTAAAGAAAAAAACTGATGCAAAGGTGCAGTAAACGCTCGCGGCTTGAGAAAATCGCTTTTAAAGTTCGAGGCCGTGCCATCGCATCAAATTTCCTGAGAAGTCTCTACACCGAGGTAGAGAGGTCGGGAAATTTTTACGAGATGAGCAAAGGAAACGCCGCCGGATAGGTCGGCATCCGGTTTAATTCTCAGGGATTCTACGAGCGAATCGTTACACAGGATGTATCGTCGTCTTTCTGACTTTCCACGATTTAATACAGCTTTAATGGCATTAACTTTATTGAATTCTAGCTTTGTCAGATCATTTTAACTGCGTTTACAGATATTTTACCGAATATTTTTAACTGAACAAATATATTTTTATCTTTATAAAAATTTACTTTATAAAAATTTTTACTTTATTTTAGTCAAAGATTTAATTCATATTTTGCGTGATGGGGTCAGGACTTTATAAAAAATTTTGTAATCATAAATTATGTATCTTCCAATTAACTTTTGTTAATAAGTAAAAATATTTGTTTTTTTTTTATATTTAAAATAAAACTATTTTAATTTTCAGTAAAATTTAAAATAAAATACGTTATAATTAATATAATTTAAATTGAAGTTTTTTTTACTGCTTTTTTATTCTTTCTTTATAGCAGTATTCAATTATAACTTCAATAGTAAAAAAGCGTGTGAATTTTTTCTCTTACATTATACATCAAAATTAATTTGTTTGTACGTTACTACTTTTGTATAAATGAAATGTTCTTTATTTACTGTTTTTATAAATAATAAAATTAGAGGTAACTCTGGATTGCAGGTAACTAAAGAATTGTTTTCAAAAGGAAATTCTTTTTGAAGTTCAAAAAGCATTCCATATATTTTCCGTATATTTCCGTCTCGTTGGAAATTAGTGTAATTTGAAAACAGTTAGAATGTAAATAAAATATACTGTACTCGATTGAGTTGGAAGTTCTGTTTGAAGCACGAATTTCTGTCGCGATTAGATAGTCGATCGATTTTCTAATCGCTGGACATCGTTCTCTGAATTACAGAGGCGTTGTACAGCCTTGTAATAGCTGTGTGTAGCTACCATGATGTGCAATCAATAGATAATAATTGGCTCTCGGATGCGTGTTATGCGGGAAACGATATACTTACTCACGGACTCAACATTAACTTTGAAATCGTTGATGTAAATCGATCCCTATTATTTAACATTAATATAGATTTACATTTAATATCAGATATATGTAATGCAAAAGGCAATTTCCGAAAGGAAATAAATCTATGATATATATTAGATAAAGTTCTACTTTGTTAGTTGAATAAATAAAAAATATTGAAACATATTGGACGAAAGAAATCTAATGAAGCGAGGAGTCAGCTATTTAAGTCGGAAAACAAGTTTGTACAAGATAAGCTAAATATAAAGTTAATATACAGTTTTTAAAGAGCATACGCAACAAATCATAATTATTACTTTGAATGAATATTAATAAAATATAGTTTTTTGTTTAATTAATGACCCGATAAAATAAAGGGAATGCTTAAATTATTGATTTAAGATAAAGTATCTAAGAATATTTCGTTTTAAATCTATTAGATAGAACACGAGTAATATTAAAAGTATTACAAACTTTGATTCATCGAAATTATTAAATTAACTTGCATAAATAATTATTTGTAATAATACTAATGAAACGAGTTGATCCAATCAAATTCTTGAAACGCAAAATAAGAGCATTAAACTCATATTTAATTAGTATAACAAGAACGTAATAAATTCGCAAGAAAAAAGGGACAGAACGCAAAATCAACACAATGAGAAAACCAAACATATACAAATAATAAGATTGAAATTAAGTGTACTCACTATTTTGCAGATAACTTTTGTAATATTTTATAATCTTTCTTTAGTGTTTAACATAATAGTAAATTATCTGCCTTACATCCAAGTGTTCTATATTTAAACTTTCTTCAAATTCGTTTCCTACGAAATATGACAAAAAGGAAAGGATGGCGTCCTTCTACAACATGTATGAGATTTTAAGTCAGATCAGTAAGAATGAGTCGTTTTTCAATATGCTAAAAGAATATTCAATAAGTTTTATGCAATATAAAATATCAAACTCAAATAAAACCGTTGTGGATGAAAGCAGTAAGACTCGAGTATAGAGTCGTAACGGTATGCCATGTAACTCATTTGATCAACCGTTGTGAAAGATTGCCATATAGACTCAATCAATGAACAAGCACATTTATAGTTTTTAAGGAACAGTAATAGTACTTGCTGAGAATAACGTGTGATGAAAGTACGAATAAATTAATCGAATTAATCGCAAAAACTTCTTTCTGAAAGAAAGGCACACAGACTCGAGCGGCCGTTCCACGAAAGAATTAAGGAAAATCAAAGAAGGACGCCAAAAATAATATACACGCGACGAGAGATTTAAATTTTATGATAATAATTTTCTAACAATATGAATCATATCATTATACTTATTACTATACTTATAAAAATGCCATTATTTATCAGATCGAATACCTTATTTTTGCACAAATTTGTTAAATCTAGTTTTTAATATGTTTACATGTATCCTCATATTTCTTATATTGTTTTTTGTATTATAGATACGCGGATCGCTCGTATAGAACCCACCCGCGTGGCTTAATCATATATGGTCAAGCAACCGTTGTACCAAGTTTAGCCGCGGGTGGCAATGTATCTTCGACGACGATACTCTCAATACTGGCCAAGGGCCTCTCGAATTCATCTAAATCCGAGCCGGTGCCGGTTAGAAACCTGGTTGGAACTACACGAGAGCTTCCGGTGTCGAACGCGACCAGTAACGCGACGATACCACGGTGTTCCCTCATCCCACCGAATTTGGGTAAGTGAAACAATTGACAGAGATATTAATCTGTAATCAGTCGAGAGAGTTTTTACTCAAAAACCTATGATATAAGTTATATCATCATATTTATCACCATACTTAAAAAAATATTTAAAAAATATTGATAAATCAGCCACTTTCGTGCGAAGTGGTATTATTTATTTATCAGACCAAATACTTCATTTAAAACTTATGCATCGTGAAATCGTTCTGAGAAGCTCTGTTTTTGTGATTTCAATTTACTGCGCTTGAACTCGGAAATGAAATATGTTGATAAATGAAATATGTGGATTAATATGCAAATATTAAAAATATAGATATGGATTAGTAATTCAATGTATTTACATATATTTATATATATGCATATTAAAAATTATAACATTTCATTTTTATTGCAAAGGTAATGGATATTACAGATTGAATTTGTCAAACAAAAGTGAAATATGTATAGGTACATATCCAGCTTTGCAAATTTCGCGCCGAAATAATTTTTGATCTTGAAACGCAATCCTAAACTGAAACTGGGATAGATAGTAATATCACAATTGAACAATATAATGTTATTCATGCTAATAAGCATTTAAAAACCTAAATAGTTTATTACAGAAAATATTACTTCAATCAGAACCTCCCTATATTCCATGACGATTATCTACTAATTCTCGATTATTAAGGCTTGATATTTTTCGCAATAATTACAAAACTGGATATGTATATAAATTTACAACAAAATATCATTTACATTAATCGAGCTCAAACCGATAAGATCTTCTTATATCATTTAATTCTATATTCATATGCAGTCTAATGTTTTATTATTGAAGTATGTATATTTTTTCTCTTCGCGCTTCTCGCTCTTCAATCCTCTATCTCTTTTGTTTCCAGTTGGACCGGTGATAGTCAGTAAATCACCACCACCGTTGTCCGAGATGGAGAAGTCATTCATGGAGGTGAAAGCAGGCGGCATAGGTCGGCCCGCAGACTGCGTCGCTAGGCATCGCGTCGCAATAATCATTCCATTTCGCGATCGACCGCAGCATCTGCAGACTCTCCTCTACAATCTGCATCCAGTCCTGCTGCGCCAGCAGATCGACTATCAGATTTTCGTGGTTGAACAGGAAGGTGAGTGAAACTCGTGAGCATCACAGTCATCGGTTTCACATCCATTTCTTCGTCTCTCGTAGAGGCGTTTTCATGCACGACAAGTTTCAGCCTAACCGCAGTTCCCAGTGTGCTCGTCGCGAAAGTTTTGAGAACATTTTGATCCCTTTGCGGTCGGAACTGATTTTAATAGATAAGAAGATAATATCTTTACACATTGATGATTAATCAAATTCCTTACATTCCTTTTCGATGTGAACTCGACTTTTTTTTAAATGTAATCACTCAAATGACTCTGTTTCACTTAGAGTCTATGGTCTCCCAAAGATCTATAAAGAAAATATTCCGTTCAGAATTATTGTGTCATCGATCAATACTGCATTATATCCTATAGCTTCATTTTTCCATTCTATCATTGAGTCGAGTATTGAAAAGAATTTTAGACAAGCATATAATAGCTTTGAAGTTTACAGATCGTTAAATGGAACAAGGATTGAAAAACTCTATTTTAATTTCACATTCTCTTGACGTTGTTTTTGTGTTCACGAACATTCCTTTGGATCTCGCAATAGATAGTTTAAAAAAATAGATGATCTTCAATATAGGAAAAAACTAAAATTCCATATAATGAATTTATGAATGTTCTGCAATTTATTCTCACAACAACTTAGTATACGTTTAACAATAAAATATACCAACAGACTTTTGATACACCTATGAGATCTCCTTTATTCCCCATAATCGCGGAATTAATTTTGCGAGATCTAGAAGAAAAATGAATTCGATCAATCTAAACTCAATTATTTATTTACCGATATGTTAAGAATATTATCATGAGTGCTCCTATCCTTAACCGAATTGACATTCTGATAACTTTTAACAGTTTCCATGACAGACTTCAATTTACAATTGAAATTGAAAAAGAAAGAACCTTAAATTTTCTTGATTTCTCACTAAAAGTCAATAATAATGAAATTATAGATTAGTTTCATAAAGAAATCTTGTGGGTCGCTATCTTTCTTTTTACTTTAACCACCTTATCTACCATAAGACAGGTACTATTTTCAGTTTAGTTGATAGAAGTTCTTCTCTTACATCCAGTATATCACCAAAAAAATTTAGAGTTAATAAATATATTTATTATGAATTTATTATTGGTTATTCTTTGAACTTTATTTTCACTCATGAAGAAAAGAATAAGATATCTCATCAATAAAAAATCATTGCATTAAGACAAAATTAAAAAGGATGTCAAAAACTCGAATCCTAATTAAAGACATTTTTTATATTACCGTTTTTACCAAACGTTACTAATACCATCACGTCATTCATCAATAAATTTACTGTCACAATTGGTTATAGGTGCTTAAGTTTAAGTTGCTTTAATTTTTTCATTAGAATACAGAAAGATGAATTAAATATAACTTCCTCCCAAAATGTAGTGTATAAAATAAATTGCAATGATTGTAACGCGTCATATGTGGGACAGACAAAGAGACAACTTGGCACTAGAATTAATAAACATAGAAATAATATCAAACATGATTCGTCTAAACATTCTATACTCACACAACATATCTTACAACACAATCATTTATTTGATCGGGAAAGCACGAAGATTTTAGATTCTGAGAATAATTACAATAAGAGAAAAATCTCAGAAATGTTATATATTAAAGAACAGACAGAGGGAATTAACTTGCGAAAAGACATAGAAAATTTGAACGAATCATATTTCGTTCTATTAGAGTCTGTTCGGAATAACAATAATAAATAGACATATACTTGGATGTCATTTGATCTGTCCAGAACGTTTTTCCATTCGAATCTGAGCATCGATTGCGATTAGACACATTTCACATTTATGTCCTGACATTCATGTAAATCTTTTTTAATTTATTTATTCTTTTTTACAAAATTTGACTCTGTTTGATTATGAACAGATTAATTCTCACGCTGAGTTCTTAAAATCTAGTTATTGTTGTTCTCGCTGAACAACGACGATTGATGACTTTAATTTTGCCTCGACATAGCGTGATGCGGACATTATAATTATTTTTGGAAAGTCAATACATTTTTATCACAATCTTTGAGATGACATCAATGGTTTTGTAAGTTCTGTCCATTTCGTTTCATTCACACATTGACGAGACATTTTGAAATGACACCGATTTTAATATGTAAGACTAATTTATGTGTGAACAATTTTTATACATTTTTGGTAATATATGTAAAAAAATTTTTTTCATCTAACTTTTTCAATCATTTTTTATCTAATATATAACTGAAGAAGAACCGATAGGCCCGAAACATATTTTAAATTTGTTATATTCGATTAAATATTAATTCAAATTGTCAACCATCTTTGGCTTGATCATTGACCTTATTTCATATTTCTTTCTCTTTTTTAAATGTTTTTTTTTAATGTGGTTTCCATTACTTATAACTTTTTTATTAATAAAAATAAATATACATTTGCTTTTATTTCTTAAAAAAGATATATGGCATTTTAATTTAAAACAATATTTACAATACATTTATTTTTATGAAAGTTATAAGCAACCGAACTGGATTAAGTATGCACCAGTGTTTGTTCTTCTAGTGTAATATTTAAGAATTAAATACGCATGATTATTACCGAAATTGATAAGTTACATTTTTTGATATAATCTTTCGATATAATTTTCACTGAAAAAAGGGATCAATTTCAAATCGCTGCTTGAACGATATTTCAGCGTATCGGAATCGTAAATTCTTATTCACCCTGAGCATCCCAAATATACGCGACTGACGCGTGCATTCCGGTGTTTCGATAACATCCTCCGGAGCACACGGTTTGTTTCCGCAAAGCGAATATAAACGTACGATCTTCTCCGGGCCTCTCCTCGTTGGTGCGTGTAAGCCGATACTTCGCTACGATTTATTGCCGTCTAGCGGACGTTCCTCTTGCTCGCGTATTTTCCCGCATGTCTCCTCGAGTGGAGATCCTCCTACTGAGAGGAAAATGCCAGCAGAGCAAGAGTTGGGAACGTTCGAACGGAAGAGGCTGTTACAAAGTTTCCGTCGTACCCTGTAAGCTCTTAGACTTAATTTTTAATTAAATTTGTGTACGTCCTCCATATCTCTCGCTCTTTCTGGCCGACCGTAACAACGCGTGGACTCTCAAGGGAAACGACATGAAATAATTTCACCGACACGGCACTGATTATATTTTAATGAAATTTTTAAAAATTTCTCGAAATTTATAACTCTCGCGTGGATGCGGTATGTTTCTGTTAGTTTATTTAATGGCACTGCGAAGATATATTTTCGTAAAAAAAGTCCTCTCTCAGAGTCAGCTTGCGCCTTGACATCGGTTTTACATCGTAAGGGCATTCCTTAAATCTTTATCACCAAGTTATGAATTATATGGGTTGCTTTTACGAGGCTTGTGCTCTGTGAGGTTGATACAGATCGCGGTAGCACGAAAAAGAGATGAAAGATTGAAAAGATGAACACCACCATCTTGATGGGAGACATCTTTATATTAAGATTTCAAAATTCTTCCTTTAATTATACATATATACATGTAATCATAAATAAAACCAAGCATACAGTAATGATTGATACAGAATATATTTAAAATTATTTTAAGTAGCATAGAAGATTTAATAAATAAGTTTTTAATATATTTTAAGTAATTTTTGAAAACATATATAAAATCGAATTATTTACGTTTTAATAATAATTTATTGTTTATCAGAATTATTTTTTATTAGAATAAAAAAAAGGAAATGTTAAGAAAATTATCTTACTTATCTTAGAGATAATATCATTTTCTTCGGCCGAGATGCAGGATCTATCATTCTATTGAATCGCTTAAGAAAATGCGATTTATCTTGGGTATCGAAAGGCTGCGAGCAAGCTCACAATTTATCTTCATTAAAATTGCTTGACTAAGTTTGTTTACTTACCGCGTATGCGAGACGTCAAAATATGACTGTGATTAATTCTCTTGTTATTCCACGCAGTGCTTCTGTACACTTCCGGTGTGTATGATGCACAATGAAACTATATACGAAGGAAGTTTCGTAACAATGTGAACAAATTTGTCACTAGATAATATCCGATTCGGCAATTGAAGTTGATTTTACTACATCGTGTATTTCGCGAGTTTCTAACATATGTCGATAGAAAGCTAAAAAATGAACAGTTCCTTTATCAAAAGTCGGGTATCATTAATATTAATGAGTAAAAGCAACGTTATCTTTATGGATATTAAATCGAAATTAGAAAAAGAATATTAAAAGTTCTTATTCGCATATAGGGGACGCGAATCGAATATTGTATTTAAAATTCATATGCTTATTATTTTTGCATTTGATATCTTCATTTGCTATTTCAAACAACGATCTCAGATCGGTTTAACTGAGCAATATTACCTCCGATGTTCGTCCATTTTATCATACATTCTCTCGAAATGTCTCTCGAAAATGTCAGTGCAATTTAATATAGTTTTCGCTGGAAAGTTTCGAATGTGGAATTCCTGATGGAATCCTAAATCCGATTTTATTCGCATTTCTCCGCTCGGTATGCAAATGAATATACAAAAAAAAAAGAGACAGTTGTTGCACAATTTTTCATCATGGTCACATGTTTCGTAGCAAAAAACATTAAATGGAACATTATCGATATTTATGGAAGCAGATATTATGGCAAATATACGTTAACGTCAATCAATTTACATTAAATAAGTAAGGATTAATGTCGAATAGATTGAAAGATAGAAAATTAACAGAATAAATATTTATTTTCTTATAAATTTTAATTCCTCGTTTTTTTTTTTGGTAAATAAACTGAATGAGACTTTTTTTATTATCGAAATATTTAAAAGTCTTTATTTCTTTGCAACAAATCGAGAAATAATTGTTGGGATAATTTAAGAGATTTTATTCAAAGATCGAAAGGATTTGTCACTGCAGAAGTATTCGAAATCGATTGCTATTATACCCCAATTTGTTGCAAATCGTTGGAGAATGAAT